GAGGTCGTCATTAACAAACTCACCAACCAATGAAGCAAAAAAACCTTTAAAAAAAAAAAAAGAGCAGTAATTAGTCGATGGATTCTTACATAGCTAGCCTTTATCACTATCAATCAAGCAGCTCGCAGACAGGAACTGCGTGACCTTACATGAGCATTTCTGCTACTCAGCCATGACGACATAACTAGCCTTGCAAATTCTGTTCACTGAGGTTTACTCTGGATAGATCTTATTATAAGTCCATTGATGTAATGCATTTACCCAAAAAAAAAAAAACAAAAACAAAAACAAAAGAGCACTATTGATTTGACTGAGCTGATGTATGGTATGCATGGGCCTTGCGACATTTATCATCTTTCCTTACTGTATAAATGTATGAAGTTGTGCTATATACATAGCGTTCTTCAAGGGACATAGGTTTGTTTGGATTGTAAGTTATTTGAGATATTTTTACTGTAGCATTTTTTGTGACGTATGTGAGATAAAAAAGTGTATTGGAAATTGTAACGGTGATGTAAGCAAACAAAATTGGGAAAATAATATTCAATCCAAACAAACCCTGAGAATTTAATCTGAAAATTTTTCATTTTTTCCTCTCACAATTGTGATGGGCCTGTATAGAGGTGGCAAGTTGTGGACGGGTAAAGGCTAGAGCGCGAAGTTGGAGTGGATCATTTTTATGTTTTATTTTATCTTTCTTTGTCTTCTTGGACCAGCAAACGTGATACTACTACTCTTTTTTCTTTCTGACATTTTCTTACGAAAGTAAGAATTTTTGACAAATAAATCTAACTCCCCAGAGTAACTCCAAAAGCCGGTAACTTGTGATACTACTACTCGTTCTACCTCTATTCTCATTCTTTGCTATCCCATGCTTAAAAGATAAAAAAGTAAAGATCATATGTGTCCTCGAGAGAAGTTGAAATTCTTCCCAAAAAAAACAAAAAATTTCAGATAGCCAAAAAAATGTATATATAAAAAAAAAAAAGTTTGCTACACTTGTTTGTTCACTAATCTTACATACATTATACCTAAAAGCATCTTACAGTTCACACTCTTATCGATCCAGCCGACGAATGCTTGTTCCCCTAATTAAATCACCCTACCTTTCTAACTCGTCTTAAGAACTCCGCCTATCCATGGGCATTTACCAAATGTTCTTTTAAAAGAAAGCAATCAAAGCCAAAGCTACCTTAGGAAACACTCTTCTAGAATTGCCAACAACCCCCTTTCCGCTTCCCCAAATATATACACATTTAACCGCTATTAATAAAATATTTTTTTTTCAAAAAACCTCTTTTATAATTTATATGATATCCATTCAGTTGAGAATTATAGAAGTAATTATTTTTAAATTAAAAATCATAACATCATTTAAGCTGAATAACATTTTCCAAAGCAAAAGAAAAAATAAGATATGATTAATTAAAGAATCAATAATCAAGCCATAGATGATGGCACAAAATGAGTAAAAAATACAGCTATATGGATTCTATGACATGATCACTAAATATAAATGTGTGGGTTCAATTGTTAAACATACGCCACTTCTTCGCAAAAAAGTTGAGTCAGAATCCCATTACAAATGTGCGGCTATGTTACTGAGTAATATGTAAGTTCATATGTTTGAATCGATGTGAGTGCTGTGTTGATAGGTAATTTAAATTTAAAAGTTATAGTGGTAGGTAATTTGTAAACACCATTGATGTAGTACTCTTTTTTTTTTTTTTTTACATACTATCCTCGTACAATTTAAATACTTGCGTAATGCTCTATCCTCCGGTAATTTTGTAAGAACTACATGGAGGTAATTGTAACTATAGAAACTTTAGGGGCTTACCGTAATTTAGTCAACTATAGAATTACAAATGTAACCCCATTTTAATTAAACACAGGTAAATTACTCAGTTACGGAGCCGTACTTTGTAGCTTTGATCGCAACTCAGAGGAGCCCGCTCTGTCGCCTCTCGCCGTGGCAACAATTTTACCAGGTTTCCGGCGATTACCCGGGAGCCCTCCAAAGGTATACTTTTCATTAGTTCCTACCTGTTCAGCATCAAGCGTGCATATATGTACATTTCCCTTTCATGATTTTGCCCTCTCGTTTCGAACTTCCGTTGTGGCGATTTTCTTTTCTTTTCTTTTTAATTTGTGCGGATATATCATTTTATTAAGCCAGGTATTTGTCTTTTTGGGTGTTTTTTTTTCATAATATCGTCAATGCCGCAAAATTAATGACGAAGAAGAAGCGTTCATATTGTAACCATATTGTTTAGGGTTTAACGCGCGACGACAGTATGATGACTGCATTTTGATGTTTTGTTTTGGTAGGGTAACTTTCAGCTGAATATTTTGATCATTTTCTTTCAGTACTTTTTGCTGTTTAAGTAATTTAGATCTTTATTTGCTGATTGTGTGCATGATTTTTGTTCATTGCATTGGATAAAAAAGCAATTCTTGCCAAGTGCTAATTGAAATTAGTATTTTTGTGCTATTTTAATGTTTAAAGAGTCCGAATTTTAGAACACAAATCGATCATTCGCTTTTCTACTAATTCACTGTCTTTTGCTGTGCACATTATCAAGCTTATGGTTGAATTACGGTCATTTTCGTTAGAGATTTTGCTAAAATAAAACATCACATCTAGAAGGATATTTTTTTTCAATACCAAAACATATCTTAACTATTTGGTATATTAGGAATGTTAAAGAGAAATAGTGCTGAGGTAGTTGTATATTGTTGATTGAAAGTCAGATGACATGTTTTATTATTCTAGTCTTTCATATTTCTTTGTGACATCAATGTTTTAAGGTAATGTGAACATTTTCTTAATTTTGGGACTCATGAATATTCTCGCAAAACCATTAATATGCAGAGAGTTGGTGAACTTACTACCTAGGTTGGCATCGCTTACTTTGTGGTTAAGATCCTTTCAAGTAGTTAATCCAATTAACCTTCTATAAAGCTGCCATGGTGCTACTTTTGATAATCAGTGGATATCTGACTGCAGCAAGTGTTATATCTGCTACTTCTCTGTTCATTAATTCAATTTTCTTTAGTTACAGTAGGATGCTTGTTTTAACTTTTACTATATACCACATTGTATATGTACCTGGCAACTTTGGTATCAACTGCAACTTGTTGCTATTAGCCATCCATCTGACATCTTTGGCTTTTTAAGCACTTTATCATGTGTTGCAAATGGGGATTGAGCTCCTAGAATCTAGTTTAAAAGGAGGTCAAGTTACTGTGTCCAATAACAGTTGCATTATGCTTTGCTGTTTGAGCTTCCAGACCGTTCTGGTACTCTATGATGTAGTAGGCATTTGTGCAGTGGAAGACCTAAAATTTTCTAATACAGCTAAGAAATTTTATTGAGCTGGAGATAAAGCTGAAGTCAGCTTGTTTCATGTTACCAAATGACCGAAGTCAAAAGAATTAAGTATGAGAAATAAAGTAAGAGGAAAGTTGTTCTGTGCTGCTGATTGCTGGATTAACCTGTAATGCATTGCTTAATTCAGACAGATGGATGGTGAAGCCAATGAACAGCTGCCCAAACAGGAGCGTTTGAGGACAAGATGGACAGCATCCCTTGATAAGATTTTTGCAGACCTTGTTGTTCAGCAGATTCAACTGGGGAACAGACCAAACAATGTTTTTGACAAGAAGACATGGAACCACATACGTGAAGAATTTAACAGACAGACAAATCTTAACTTTAATAATAATCAATTGAGGAAACACCTTGATGTTCTCCGGACACGTTACTGTAGTCTGAAATCAGCCTTTGATCAACAGGATCCCATAGAAGATTCTTGCTACATTGGGTTTGACCTATGGGAAGACATTGGAGTATTATTCTTTTCTTTCTTATTCTTCTACCTCTCTCTCTCTCTGAATGGTATTATGGTTCTTGATTCTGTTTTTCTTTTTGTTATATTAACAGGCACAACATAAGCCTGCTGAGCCTACGAAGATCAAGGATTGTCCTATTTATGACCAGTTATGTGCAATTTTTGCGGATTCAGGTGCTGATGGAAAATATGCTCAATCCAGCCACTATGAAGAGCTGGACAAATCTGCTGGGAAATATGCCCAATCCAGCCACTATGAAGAACTGGAAAAATCTGCTGGTACAGACCCTTTATGTCAGGAAAGTGGAAATGCACTTCCTCAAACCCCTGCACTGTCAAGACCTGAACAAGGAAATCCATCTCCGCCACAGAATATGAATAAAACCACAGCAGAAAGAAAGAGGAAGCGTCCAGCAGAGACTAGCAGGGGATCTGGAGAAAGTAACTTGGATGGAAATTTAAGAAATATAATGGCAGGAGCATTGTTAGATATGATTGGTGCATCAAAGTTGCGATCAACAGATATGTCTAAGACTGATGATAAATTTACGATAACCAACTGCATAAAAGCTTTGGACGAGATTGAAGGCATTGAGGATTGGCTCTATTATGCAGCGCTGGATCTTTTTGAGGATCCCAGTTCACGAGAGATGTTCCTTTCTCTTAAGAGCAACACAGTAAGGTTAACATGGCTACAGGGGAAGTGTGGTCATTTTTTCTCCTAGTTTAGTAGAACTACCTTTTGGTTTTTGATATATTTTGGTGCAGATAACACCCTTCAATAGGAAAAACTGTGTTAGGCGATAAGTTTTTTTGACTTGCTGGCTAGTAGGGATGCAAGATGCTTTAGCATGATCAACGGTCACGGTGACTACTAATTGCTGAAAACTGGATTCGTGTTCTGTCTAGGAAATGTCCGTTCTGTACAAAGAAAAGTAAATATGCAGATGTGCAATGCCCTTCCAGTAAAATCAATGTCGCATCATTTCAGTACTGAATTAGTTCTATTTAAGCTGGTATCGTAAAACAAACCTAATCGTCCAACAACGAGCAAGATTGGCATTCTCAACACCGAGAGCCAATTAAAGTTGAAATAATGCAAGAGATAAACGATGGATACAACAATAACTGTCATACAATCCTATTGATGTACAATTAAAATATTCAGGCTTGGCCCTGATTTTTGGCTAGCTTATAGAAATCCAGCATTTCTTCTTCCACGGGGTGAGTGTCACCGACTATCACGAGGCAATGCAGTGGGAGACCAAAGTCCACCTCTAACAATTGTTTCATCGAACCGGCAACCACCAACTGATCTTCACTACCAAGTCGAGCAAAGCCAACGCAAGTAGTGTCTTCAGTGTATGCTGCAATTCCAGACAAAACAAATAGCAGAATATTTTTAAAAGCAACATAAACAGGGAAAAAAATCCAGGTGGCCAAAGCAAAATGGCTTTACTTCTCTAATGATGTTGCATGTAGGAACATTGGAGCTCATCATGATAGGCCCACAAAACATGGGTAGTGAAAACAACACGTTAGTAGCGCAAGTTAATCAAAGCTGAAATGTTTCCACGAACAGGGAATTAACACCAGACGACACAACCAAAAAGGATAACTACTTCATGGCGAAGTACATTTTAGATGGAATAAGATCTGTGCAGATCAAGCTAAAAGGTATATAGCTAGTTGAAAATTTTTTGATGGAAAGATCTCAGGAGCCACAACAACTGAAAAGCAATGCAATTGTACCCGTATACCTACCATTTTCTCCACGCATTTGTTCAACCTCCAAGAGCTGCTCAATTGCAACACTTACTGCCATAAACCTTGGAGGCTCATATTGCTTTTTCCCTCTGTAACTTGGGAATCAAGAATATTGCAGATGAGTCAAGCATAAAAGCAAGAGACAAACAAAATCACATGGGGTTTTTCATTCTACAGGCTGGCATTAACACTGAAACGAACCTGCACAAAGACTCCAAGGAGGGCTCCTTTACTCGTATGTCTGCAAAGCAGAATTCTTAATTAGAGTTCTGTTATTGCTTAAGGTTTTAACAAGAAAAAGAGTTGTAGAACCTCAGAACTTTCGATTGTTACAGAGATGTTTGAGGGCAATACAAAGTGACAATAGAATTATCTAAAATGAGGATAAGATGTGAAGGCATGGAAGGCATGGGAAAAAAAAAACCTGGAAGTGAATGACCAATGATAGTTGATTCGATGGTTTTCTCATGGACTAAAAGCTCTAAACATGAACCGGACGGGATTAAAACAGCGATTGAAAACAAAACTATGAAAAATTACAAAGCACTCAAATACAACTAGTCAATTGAGTTGACCCAAGCACATGGAAAGCTAGAGAAGCCAAAACAATTAAAACATCAGAATGTGAACTTGGCAATTCTTGTTGTAAGTTCACTACTGCACCGCCTATATACACAGCTTCTTGGAACACAAAAAATGCATTGCACATACATGTCAGATGATGCAGTGTGCAGTAAAACCAGGGCCAAGCAACCGCAGCTGTTAACTACAGCATCTAAGTTCATTAAAAACATTGTTTGGTTTGTCAATCAAAGATGTCAACCTTACCTAACAAGCAAAGAGTATGCAATCCCAGCTTTCTATTTCTTTGAATCTTCTCATAAAAACTATCAGGCCTCCAAGTATCAGTGAAAAATGGAAGGGAAACCGTCTCTCCATATCGGTAGAGTTGTAAACCACAAACTCCAATTGCATTCATTACTGACGCATTATGCACAACCTTAACATCCACACCCAATTTTTTTGCTCTAACAACGAGATCTGTGTGCGTAGTAGCTCTGTGAACAATTGCAGCACAAAAGTAGCAAGAGAAATGAATTAGTCCATGAAAGAGAATAGTAAGCTCCCTGATCGATGAAATGAACCTATCTACTCTTACAGACTGCCTATACTTGCATGACTCTCTGTATAACCAAAAATTTTCATGCAGTACATTAAACACATTTAAAGAAGAGTTTGAAAGATGATTACTTCAAACTTCAAATGTTCGCACATACAAGATACATTGCAGCATCTTTTACATTAAATGATTGCTGTGCAATCAACAAGAAACAAACAAACCCCACATAAAAAATTGCAACATTTGAAGAGACTGAAGAATTGAAATTGAGATGCAGTGGTACATTACCCAAAAGGGTCTCCAACAACGAGAAAAGCAACATCGGACGATGTAGCTTCCAAGAGTATATCGTCTGCCTTTTCCTCGACCATTTCCCTATCCGCTACCGTAATTGATTTGCCGTAGAGCTTTTCCTGCAAAAGATTGTACATTTCTTTCTAAGCTTTGTTAACTGCTTGACGAGCAAAGAATTCTGAAACTACCAAAATTAAATTAAAAACAAAAATGATACCAGAGTAGAAAGGCCATCGGAGGAGATACCAAAGGAGAGGAGAGAGGTATAAGCTTCAATGAATACTTTTTGGGACTTCTGAACAGCTTCAAGGCCTCTGAGGGTGATGTCTTTCTCATCTCCCAATCCCAGTCCTATAATATACAACATTCCTACTGTCTTTCTCCTCTCTTTCTTTTGTTTTGTTCTGATGGGGAGGATGTGTGAGGTCCTTAAATGGAGATACCGCCGGGGATATCCGGTCAATTTCTACAGGTAGAAGCTAATTCAGTGTTCATGTAGCTCGATTGTAATTGAGTTCCAAAGAAGATCACAATCCTCCTGCAGGGAGACCTTAAAGGCTTAAACCCTAAACCCCTCGTTCGAGTCTTATTCAAAATGGTATCAACAATGCTGAGCATCACCAACCGTCGATATGTCCGAGTGGTTAAGGAGACAGACTTGAAATCTGTTGAGCTTCGCCCGCGCAGGTTCGAACCCTGCTGTCGACGATTTGATATTTTTATTTCTCCTTGGCTGCATTGTTGATGGGTCTTGGGCCTCTTGGCTTGTTTGTTTATGTTTTTCCATGTTTAAACATTTTGGATGGACTTCAGTGATTCATGATTTTACCGCTGGGTCCAAAATTGAGAGGAGATGGGGAATTTGTCATCACGCAAGCTGCAGAAACCAGTCAATTCAAGTATTACGCAGCATTTAGGAAATTGTGCTTCTTAGCAATTGATCCGTCCTCTAGATACTGTAGCCACACCGGCTCCTTTTAACAATTTGGCCTGATGTTGCTGCATTCGTCTTCGTCTTCTCCTCTTCCTAAGCCTAAGAACTTAGAAGTGGCAAAAAATGGAAATTCTCTCTAGACAGTCCAATATTGCAGATGGGATCCTTTTTGCATACGACAACTGTAACTATATACACATGCTTTTGCATCTTCAATATCCACTTGGTATTGCATATGCTTACATTGTTAATCAGATACACCAGTTGGAAATCTAGAAGCAAGTGGAAAACGAGATCGTGTACAAATTTTGTTCACTGATAAACAACTTGTTAGCCATACATAAATGAATACCAATATAAAGAGTCTGGCTGAGCAAAAGAGGGAACAACTGAGGTTGTTATTCACGAATAGCTGTGGGATTGCTCCATGACTGAAGCGCGGCTCACCATTGAGCGAACCACAGTAGCTCGGAGATATCCTAATCGTCATCTTTGAATTCTCTGTTCTCAACAGCAAAAGTTTACTTCCAATCAGTAAAACAGGCTACCATAGCTGCCACTTACACTACTGTTTTCTCTTGCTGCTGCTAACGCATCTTCAGAATTGTAAATGTTTTAATGTGAAAATTAAAGTTTTCGAGCCATATTTTCCTTGTCCTGGTTCCCTATATCAGAATCAGATTTTACAGCTTTATGTAATTACAAGTACCTTACAACATTGTAGTTCAATAGTCAGTTAGGCATACACAGAAAAGGAGAAAATGCGCAAGTACACACCTGCGATCAAGATATCGAGGTTGAATGCCACTTCCTTGACATGTAGTGCATGTCAAGGATCCCATACCTTCACAATTGATGCAGCGGGAGACTTCTTTGTCACCCCCACCAAGCTCGACTGACACACTTCCAGTTCCCATGCAAAATCTGCACGTCTCTGGTGAAGGATCCCATTGAATATTTGTAAGCTGTTTTAAGTCTCATAATTCTGTGAAATATTACTGTTTAGAGTAAACCGTGCTTAGGCAATTAATAGGTGGCAACAATAGAACATTGACTTCCATTGACAATGTAAACAGTTTTTACAATCTCATTTCTTCACCACAAAATGCACACAGAGACAATGCATCAATAACACAATTTACAGAAACCCACTGTTCCTTTCTTGTATTCATCTGATATCCAGAAAATGGTTGCATAACAGTCTGATGGTTATCAAGCAATTGAACAATCAAGAGTAAAAGACTGCATTTTGCTGGTTATCCACATAAGTAACATAAGATTGCTTTTCCAGCCATGTACATTTGGTTATTGCCTTAATGGAAGCATACCAAGTTCCAAGCTTTGGATTATGGAAGAGTTGCAAGCCATACACTAGAGTCCTTGGGTTGACACTTAAGATTTAAGCCCTCTGAACTATAAGATCAACCAATTTCCTAAATATGAAGTGTAAAGATTTTCAAGCAGCCAATAAATATATCAACCCCAATGTGGAGTGTGAATGGAAGCACAAGTAATCCATAGTGGATGTAATCTAACATCTTTACATTTAACCCATCAAGTCACAAAGTTGTGTCAAAACTCCAAGACAGGTAAACGATCATTATTTCCTGCTGTTTTACTTCTAAAGCTTCATTTTGCTTCCTTGTTTCATTCAAATTGTTCGATCAACGGACTAACTAATTATGTCAGTTGCTCAATAAAAAATTTAAAACAAAAAAGAAAACATGTCAATTCAACAATTTATCTGTCTTGAAAACACAGGAAATACTGAAAAAGGAAAAAAAAAAAAATTAACTCACGAGCACCAGAGCCATTGCAAGGGAAGCATGGCTGGGTATTCTCTCTTTTGGCCTACAGCAATAGTATGCACTAGCGTCAGCTCTCCAATATTGAATCATTGAAAATTGAGTACAAATTACCAAAATGCTGGATTCCCAATCAAATAATAAAGAGAAGATACAAAATTTCATGGAAATAAATGTACTTTCTAACAGAAAAAGAAGAAAGAACATCAAGCTTAAGGACTAACCGCACTGTCAATTTGGGTTTCATAGAAAACTGGAATTCCAATCCCAACTGCAATGCTGGCCACACCTACCGTTATTGCTACTATCTGCAGAATCCAATGCCATCTCAAAAAGGAAACATACAAGAATCAATAAAAACTGGTTAGACATCTGTTATGATTTTAAAACAGAAGAAACTACAAGATAAAAATAAAATAAAAAGAAGGAATGTTACAAGGACAGAAGAGGGGCACCGTATTCTGGTCAAGTTCAATAGCTCTGATGCATGGATAAGAAGTTGGGCAGCGTCGGTTCCTAATTGATTTCTGCGTAAGAAGACCAGAAGAAGAAGAAGAAATCTTGAGAGGACAGCATATGAATGGAGAATGCAGTCTGGAAACTGAAGGTGTAATTGTCATTTTCTCTGACTAATTTCTTCTAAGATTCCAAGTAACTCTTTTCTCTGCTGTCTACGCTTCAAGGAATTGGCTATGTGTATGTGCAAAGGGCTGAGATTATTGCAAAGAATTACTGCTACAAGTGAGCACTTGTGGAAAACGGGAATGTGAGCTCAGCGTCAATGGTGTTGTAGGATTTTGTGGGGTCACATTCAATCTTAGCCACAGCAATTTCTTGTAATTTTGAACCTCCGAGTGACTCGTCTTGGGCTGTTTGGGTCGGCTTCCAAGTTCCAACAGCGTATATCATCAGCTAACAATTGTCCAGTCCATTTGATCCTCTGCTAGCTTTAGCTTTTGGGATTTAAAGAAGAGAACTTGGATCAGACTCGAGTTGGTACTGGTCTTCGCTTGAATTACACATGCCCACCCAAGTTGTGATAACAAGACTCCGAGGCCTGAGCCTGCTCTTAACTGCTCGAGTTTTGTCCAGCTGAATATATATATATATATATATATATATATTTTCATTTGGGGATATCCCTACCTTCCAATCAGATTAATCTCCTAAGCCTGCGTAGAGTCTTGCCCCAAGAATACATAATAAGGTAGCACACGATAACTACCAGATTACAGAACCAGTCGAACTACCGCAATGCTTGTCCAGCTGATTTAAAGGTTTCATTTGTCAAGTTAGGTACTTGAGCAGTGACAGCATTCTGTCTAGGAAAAGCAACAATATTATGATACTGAAGTTATTTTAGAACCCACAATAACATTTTGTTTTTTATGCTTGTCCATATCTGTGGCATGTTGATGCGTTTTCAGTCATTACAGCAAATTCATGGCAATGAAATTATTTCTTTTATCCAAAAAAAAAAAGGGGTAAAGTAATAGTTGTTTCTGATAAAGAAACGCTTTTTAAGGCTGCCTATCATCAATGCTTGAAAACTTGGATAGCGTAAACGACGAAGAAAAGAACATTTTGCATTATGACTCCACACCCTTTTCTCTCATCGGAATTCGACACATCGAGATTGTAATGTACTGCAGTGCCACTACCATTGGAGGATTTTTTTTTTCCAACGGTCTATTACCCATTTATCTTTGTGAAGCTCAAACTTCTAATCCATCCAAGAAAGTGGATTTTGCAGTTAGAATTGGACAAAGAAGAACTGAGTGATCATCATACTTGTATATGAAATATTCTTTGTTCTCAATTGCCTTTCGAGTACAACGACTTCCTCATGAATGCCTTACTAAAGTGGGATGGGATGCTCATTGTATCCTCCGTTTCACTTTCCAAACAAGGAATTCTGATGAACCCGTGACAGCCCCTTTTACATTTCTTTCTTTTACCCCCTCCAGTCACGCCATCAAGACTTTTGCCTGTACTGTCATTTTTGCTAAAATAGGAGCAGAGGGGGTTTCTTTTTTCTCTCTCTTTTTTTTTTTTAGTTCAATTCTTTCTTGTTTCGGTCAAAGAAAGGTTATATATGGAGATGGAACTGATCATGGGCTCGCAGCATAGGCTGGAAATGAACTAGAATCCCTTTTTTCTTATTTGAGGGAGAAGAGAACAACGAGGTTGTGATTTCTTCAATTAATATACTACTGGTAGTAGTTGTGGACGGACGAATTAAACGAAACCATCGCAGTAGAAGGGGGCGAAAATATTTATTGTATAAAAAAAAAAAAAGACCACATATATTATAAAAGGACAGGAGAGGAGAGAAATGAGTCATGATATTGAATACTTAAAGAAGATGATGAGTGGGGAGGGGTGAACAGAGAGTGGTTATGAGAGTGACAAAGCAACAACTCAGTCTCCTGTAGCCATCATGAGAAGGCATGTGAGGGGAGTCACCTCATCCTTGAACTAGAGAAGCATCATCATAATTCATGGCTTTGGAGTTTGATGTTTGTCTTCTTCTTACCATAATGGCCTTGAAATTACTCCTCCTACTACGTCTGTGAGATGAAACGTAGAATCCAAGGCTTTGGTTGTTAAATCCTCCCATATTTGTGCCTTCGTTCTGAGAGCGGGGTAGAAAGATTCATGGCATATTTGTACCTTCGTTCCTTAACTTGTTTTCAAAAGATTCGTGGCATTTGAGCATCGCATGATCATACTGGATGTTCTTCCATATTTTTCTGAATGTACGACGGCCACCATTTAAAGTTGAAACAAACAATTCGAGTCCTGGAACCTCGTGACACGTTAGTTGTCTGGTTTCAGCTACCCAATGCATGCTCCCATTTTTTTAATTAGGAATATGCATAGGCCTGTTTGCAGTCGCAAGCAAGCAGGAGCAGGAGCAGGAGCAGGAGCAGGAGCAGGAGTGCATATATGATATATGGTCATTATACTACGTACTAAACTCGTCTGCTTTCTATTAGTATGTTATTCTTTACTCATTATGTCTATGTATGCATCTTCATACACTTGCATTAAAAACACGTCTTAATTGATAATAAGTCAACCGAAACGTGCTTCAATTCCCATGAAAATCTAGCATGGCATCCCAGCCCTTCACTTTTCCTTTAGTCCATGTTACTTCATTCACAGCTTGCATTACTTTTTTCAAGGATGCTACCCCCTACTGCCAGCACCTTTTGACTGACGTGTAAAATTAATAATGTATTTTAGTTAATCACAAAAATCCAGCCTTTTTTAATACGTGGCCACTTTGGGGACTTCAATCACTTCGAACTTCTTGCTTATATATTGTCTTTGTGAAAATACTTTTTTTTTTTTTTAAAGAGGCAAACAAAATACCAGGATTCATTTCTTTGCTTCTTTTCTCCCCAACATAGATGACGCTTGAGGTTGCAATCGACTCGAAATGTTTACCGGCAATTTGATCAACATCGAGCTCGAGCCTAGCGGTAATATATATGAATTAAACTCCAGCAGTCATTTGTTCGACTCAATTGTTAGACGAGTCATTCGAAAAACTCGAGTTGATGTAAAATTATAAAAATGTCTCTACATCAATTAAGATTGAGCTAACTTCGAATTGCTCGCATGCCCAAAAATCGAGCCAAGTTCTCGAGTCAGAAATGAGTCGAGTTCAAACGTTCATTTTTCTAAGTCAAATCAAGCTGAGTTTCATTTTTTTGACTTGATTCAAAACTCTATTCAATTTAACTCGTCCGCAACCCTAAATACGGTATAACTTGACCCCTTTTTTTTCTTGAGGGTATAATATAACTCGACCTGGTCTGGTGCAACTTTCCCCAGTATAGGGGACATGGTATAACTCGAACCCTTTCCAATTAGGATATCCACTAAGGAAGGCATAATGGCTATATGGTTGATCCCACAAAATGTGTACATGTGATTAAAAAAAAAAAGCCAAGGAACTTTAGCCCGTCTGATTTGTTATTTTCTACCATTTTTATAAAAAAAAGTATTATAATGATTTGATGTATATAAAATAAAAAATAATTAAAAAATATGTTTATGACAAGCATATTGTTTTTAAACAAAAATAACAATTCAAGCAAGGAGATTTCACAATACATTAAATTAAATTAAATTAATGTCGTACAAATACCATTTGCTCATCGACATTGAAATTCCTTAAGGAAGGCTTTCATCTGCCATTAGGGCAACTGGTGTAGCGATCACGAGTTAGATGTACAACTCACTGATGAAGAAATGCAATATATAGATTAGCATTACAAGGTATTTGATAAGATTCAATTGTTTGTTTGGATTGTAGATTATTTGTAAAAATTTATTTGTTTGTATCATCAACATATTTTTTAACTATATTTTTATTTTGCGTATATTATATCAAAAAAATATTATAGTATATTTTTTTTAAAAATTTCAAATAATCTATTATCTTTGGAATTTGGATTGCCATTTTTCTCTAAAAAAATTTTATTTTTTCGCAAATATATTTTTTTAATTATCTTTTTATCTCACATACATCAAATCGTTATAATATACTTTTACTTAAAATTTGAAAAAAAAAATCCAAACTGGCTTGACTCTTGTGCTGAAAATGCTATGACTACTCCATCTTTCTCATTCCCTATCCAATTCCCGTTTTTGCATTGTCGGGCATTATGCTGTGACATAGAGCTATGCACAAAGTGGAATAACCTTTACAATCTTCATTAACTGAGTGATTATCTGCTGAATTCCATTTTTTATCTCAACATAATTATGCAGTAATTGGTTTTAAACAATCCAATTTAGTACAAAATATGCCTATAAGTCCTTTTGTTTTTTTGGGTGGTTGAGGAGAGAAGTTAGAAGACCATTAATTTCTTGAACCACCCGCGGGTTATTTGTAGTGTTTTCTCCTTTATGGTTTAGTGGGCCTCCCATGTATTATACTTTGCCCGTTATCTGTAACGATTAGATGCGACTTATCCAGAGGTACCTTACTCCTCCTCCCGGCAACGGCAAAAACGAAATTCCTCCTTTCAACTTTATCATCCATCTTTTGCAATTGTCTGGGATCACGCACCTGTGACCCGGGCTACTTCACCATCGCTTCATTAGACCAAATTGCCCATCGGCCATTTGCACCTTTTAACAATCAGGACCCATTTACAACTTATAATTTTTTTTTTTTTTTTAAATAATGTAAGTATGAGATTTTAAATTGACGATCTCTCTTTTAACCTTTTTTCCTTTGCATCATCGAATCCGTCTCTCTCAACAGTTACAACTTACCTAATAGCATGGCACTATGTCATGAAGATGGCTATGACAGAATAACAAAAGACCTTCCTTCGCCTTCACCTTTAGACGGGCAAAATCGTAAAGCTGCACAGCAGCGTGAAAGTCCTTGGGTACCCTGCACGTGATGTTAACACTTTTCTTTTTTTTGGTAGGAATGAATGTTAGCACTTTTCACAATAACATCCCAAACGAAGCCCGGTGGGCAGCGTATTAAAAGTTAAAAAAAACAACGTTCATCAGGTGACAAAAGACAGACATCCCAAAATAAAGAGCAATAGATATACCCACACTTTGCATATCCAACCGTTCATCAAAGAAGCCTCACGATATATTTATGCTCCCCCACGCACAGAATTTCCCGCACCAGTACCGAACTCTAAATAGCAAATCCAGCCACCAAGGATTTAAATCCCCTCAACAAGAAAACAGATGATAAATATAAAACAGATAATTTCAAACAAAACTACGCTGTAAAATTTCAGCAATCAGCTCCGCTGACATCGCAACCGTCCGCCGCGGATTATCGCCGGCTTTCTTCTACGTGCCGGCTATCTACTCCGAATTAACTCCACCACTCTACGATTTGCTCCGCCGCTCATTACTAACGGTCATTTTCCAATTTCAACGGTAACTTATTTGTCAATTGTTGTCTTGATTTTTCTCTGGCTATCACCTCCCTTTTTTCGCTTTTTGGGGCGATAGTTGTCGGTTCTTATTCTGGGTTTTTACTGTCC